GTGGAGACAAATATTGTGAGTGATGATATATGTAGTTTTGCTTAATTGAATTTAGCCTTCTGCATCAATACCATGTTTCTAAATATCTAAATTCTTTTACCAGATATTTTTCGACGTAATGGAGGACTCGAGGAAGACTGCAGAGAGACTGTGCAAATACCTCAAAGATCACGGGATACTCGTGTTTTACGTGGGCAAATCCAGGTCTGTTTTAAATCTATTGGAGCTCAACTACATCTTGCTGCTGCATTTTCTGTTCTTGAATCCATTTTTTTTTTTCTCATGATTGGTTCCTGAAGTTCTGAGTTTTGAATTTGGATTGAAGGGCCTTATTACCTCATTTGGTGCTTTACATTAATAGACTAACATTTGTTGCTAGTAACGTTGGTTTTCTATATATATATATATAGATGCTAGTAATGTTCATTATATATATATATATATATATAAGTCAATTTATATTTACACATCTTCTGCCGTTTCAGGATTAGAATTGTTCTTCACCACCAAATTTCAGCAGGTGATGTGCAGTACACTCTGTCATGCTTTCAGGTAACAAAATCTGCACACATGAATATACGTATGTGTGTGTGTGTGTGTATATATATATATATATGTAAAACTATGTAGTTTAAGAAATTTTTGTTTGGTTGAAAATTGCAGCAAGCTTTAACTGGGGAATATGATGAAAATTGCAACAACTAGTGGGGGAGGAAAGAAATTCCTCATGGAGATCTCTTAAGAGGGCTTACTCACATGTAAAATAAGTTCATATATATATATGTGTGTATGCGTGTGTGTACATAAGACATTCTTACATACACACCTGGATATTATATGATATACAAACACACACACACACACACATATATATATATATATAAATTAAATATTAGGTATTTTGGCTGTATGAATTAAATATTTAGTTTGTAATAATAAAATTTGAATATTTTAATTTTATTATTAGAAATTGGAACAAAATCAATTCAATAATTTAAACTATGGTTCAATCCATCAATCAAATGGTTTCCTTTTCAAAAGAAAATTCAAATGTTGGGCTTGGGCTGGTGGTGGGTTATACATATGGAAGACAGCTGTATCTATATATTTACAATTAATTATTTACTTCCCAAAAAAATTATATACAATTAATTTCATGGGTTTTTTTTTTTTGAAAAAAAAATGATAATTAATTATTATATTATTTTTTGGGTAAAAAACATAAAGAATGAAAGAAAAAAATGCTTTTTTTTTTCCTGTTAATTTAAATTTTAATTGAAAATTCCAAAAATTTAATGGATACATATACATATATATAAATTTTAAAAGTTTTAATATATATTAGGTGAAAATAATAATTAATTAATTAGTAAAGAAAAGTAGGAAAAATAAAAATTTGAATCACCATTTTTTATTTATTTTTTTTATACATAAAAAAGACTTGTCTAATTACTTTTGTCTCACAAGTCATGTCATTTCACATTATACCAAATTTGCCAACTTGCTGCATAGTGGGCTCCCAATCTTTTATTTTCACAATTATTTTTAATTTTTAATTTAATTTTTATTTTATTTATTTTATAAATAATAATAATAATAATAATAATAACCAAGAACAATTTATATATAATTAAGTTTAAAATTTTTTTTACAACCAACAAAATAAAATATTTTATAGTGGTTAAAATTCTTACTCTATGATTAAAAATTATGAGTTCAAATCTCGACGACAATAGAATTTGTCATTTAAAAATATCTAAAAGAATAAAATCTTGACTTAATATTTTATTTATTTAAAAAAATTTGTCACTTTTTTTTTTCCAAAATTTTTATAATGATACTCCAATCATCAAATCCTAGGAAAAACTATATAGTTTAATATAATATTTAAAATTTTTCAAAGGTTTTCTATCTAATTATGTAATAAATTTTTTTTAAAAAAAATATTCATCTTATAAATAATAAATTATATAAATTATTCAAAACATGTAAGCTAATAAATAGAAAATGCATAAATAAATTATTTAATCATAAATTGGTTCCCACCATATGCAAAAGTCAAGGATTAAGTTTAGAAAAAAAAATAATTAATTATTTATAGATTAATACACATATATTAATAAGATTTTTTTTAGAATATTATAAAAAAATTATATTAATTATAACAACTAAAATATTATTAAAAAAAAACCCACAAAAGTTAAGTATAAAAATTATTAAAATAACACAAAAAATTTGGAATTTTAATTTTAATTTTAATTATTATATAGTAGTAATACCATATTCTAAAAGACAAACAGAAAAGAAGAATAATATAACAGCTAGTTGCTTCCTTTTTCCTTAGCATGCAATATACTTGTGCCTTGATGTATAAGCTCTTGTTTTATTGTCGGCATTACTAAATTCTCATATTAATTTTTTAAAATAAAGAGAATAGTAATTTTTTTTTTTTTAGATAAATTATATAAAAAATTTTAGATCTAAAAAATTACATTGTTAAATTATGATTGTTACATGTATATCACTTAATTTATGAATAAATATATTTTTAATTCAAAAAAAGATCTAATATCTTTAATTATTATTTATATAGGATGTATGTGTGTGTGTGTATATATATATATATATACGAGTTTTTGGTTCTTTAAAAAAGATGTTAAGAATTTTTAATATGGGTTTGAGAAAAAAAATTTGATTATACACTAAATATAATGCAATTAAAAAAAATAGTTGGTAATCATATGTATTTTGAATATTATGTATATAATAAGATATTGTGCTTGTGAATGGAAGATAGTTAGTGATTATAGGTGAATCTCATACTCTAATACTTTAATCTTAAGCTTCTCTTGAGTGTTTACACATTGTTTTATATATAATATATATATATATATAATATATTTAATGTCTTTCCAAGTTAACATACATAATGCATGAGATAAGTAAAGTTTGTAAATTTTTTTTTTCTATTTCTTTTACTTAATGCAAAAAATTAAGATTTTTTTTACAAACACATTAAAAAAAGTATATTATTTTTTTCTTTCTAAATGATTACATACATCGAAAATAATTTTTGTACTATCTACTAGATAAATTGTATGAAAAATATCTTTTTGACTCTATTAATAAAAGACGAAACTAATTTTTTTTTTTTAAAAAAATTAACACGGACATATATGATTATACGTGACATTCACACTTATTTCTCACGAAGAATCAAAATGATTGAAATTGAAATTTCTCTTGCTTGCAAAGGGAAAAAAAGACAAAGTAATTAAAAGATTAAAAATAAAAATACATGTAATTAATTAGATTTGGATGTTGAATATTTAGATCAATAAAGGTAAAAATAATAATCATATATATATATATATATTTGTTGATATGCTTTTGTACAAAACAAACTTAGACTTGAAGATTGAAAACAAAAAGTTGGATAACTACATTTTACTCCTCTCCTACTAGAATTTACAAATCACATACCCTTCATGCAAAGATTTGTGGGTAATTACTCTTTCTTTATATACATATATATACATATATATATATGTTGTTTCTTTGATATATAGGGGTGAGTCCTAAATTAATACCCTAAAAGTTCAATGGGTTATTGCTTATAAAAAGTATTAGGGAATTGCTATGAAGGTTCCTAAAATTCGTTGTTTTTGATCTTTTGCTATATATTGTTTTGCAAGTAAATGACCAATTGATAGCATATTTGGATCATCATCTTGCCAATTCCTTTTGCCACATAATATTCACATTTAACAAAGATCCCACCTTATATATATGCCTATATGTATGTCATGTATACGCATGTCTACATATATATAAATATATATATGTATATATGTTGAAAAAGAAGTTTTTCATTTCCTCCAACGTGGGTGTGTGTGTTTCTTTTTTTCTTTTTGATCTATGTCACGTGTATTTTGTGTTTATATCATAATGCATTGATTGATATTCTAAGTGACAAAAGATAGAATACCCATGAATTCTATACACACAAAATATATATATATATATATATTGCTTTTAATTTAATTGAGTTCTCTTTTATACGTGAATGAATTTAATATTTAAAATCTCATAAAAAAAAATTAATATTCAAAATTTTCTTATGATCCCTTGACAATTGACCGAAATTTCGACATTACTAAGTGCCAAAGTCAATTAATCTTTAATAACCATCATTATATATATTGTATTAATACACCTATATATGTAAATGATTCAACCAAAGAAAATATGTAGTAATGAAATTTGGTATCTAATATTTTGATATTGATGATTAGTCATTATATTATCGAGCGCATGCAAATTCACATGAATTGAATTGAATGATCAAAATCGATTCATGATTATATATTTATTTTACCCAATTAAATGTAATAGCATTTTATGATTGTTATTGGACAAGTTATTTCGATTTTTTAATTTATTTTTTTATGAATAAAATCATTGTTCAATCTTAATTTATAATTAGTTATCTTAGAGTTGAGAAATATAATTGTTTTGCATGCATGCATCATATATATATATATATATATTATTATTATACGTGAGTTAAACTTTTTACTCAATTTTTAACCTTCTCAAAAACTAAAGATGATTTTTTCAATTCTTATAAACAAATTTATTGAAATTATTTCAAACATAGATTTAATAATAACTTAAAGATTCACTTCATATATTTTGAAATTATGCTTTTATAATTATTTGAAAGTTAAGTATACCTATTCATTTATTACAAGGGAAAAATAATTAATAAATAACTGAAATAAAAAAACAATATTTCTCAAGTTCCTCGTATTCTTATGAAATATATTTTTTGATAAAAAAAATAAAATTACCTCATACGAAAAAAAAGATGTTAGAAAGTCGGTGTTCTACTAGAAATTGGAACACCATTTAGAGAATTCATGTTTTACAACTTCATTAATAATATTGTTTATAACCCCTTAACAAGTAAAATAAACAAATGAAATGAAAAACGATTTCTTGAGGGAGTCTTATTCCAAACTCTATAATCGACCTAATATTGTGCTAAACAAAATTGACTAAGACTTTGTTGAAACACATCTCGTTAGTAAATTTATAAAAATACTATGAACCTCATTCTAATCATGATTATTATCATAAAATTTTATTAATACCGTAAAATTTCATTATCTCCGTAATAAGTGTTACGTGGTGAAATAGTTTAGCATCATTTTATTCATTATTGCTAATAAACGAAGAAATATATAATGTGTGGGTAAAATAATATATAAGAAAGAAAAATATCAATATTTTAATTATACATTTAGTAGTTGTTTTCATAATTACATTAGATAGACTCATAATTTCTTAAAATTATTATTCTTAAATACCCAAGCTACCTTCCATTAAAAGAAAAAAGAAAAATTCAAAGCACCTCCACTCTTGTTTGTCAAAAATACAAGTCTATATATATATATATATATATATATATAAACATAGATGTGTGTGTCATAGAAGATTATAATTTGACAATTTATAATTTTGGGAATGGGAAACTAGAGTAGAGAAATTATGGAAATGGGTTTTTGGGAATGTTCCCTAAAATTGAAACAATGAAGGAGAAGATAAATTTTAAGAAGAGCATGTGTAATTGTGTACTTGCCAAATTTGGCAAAATTCTTGTTTCCAAAAATGGTACGAACTCAAACACACTTCTTGGTTTCATAAGCCATTTGTTGTTCATCCACTTCCATGTTACTCGTGCCAGCCTACTTCTAGGTTTTAGACTCCAAATGCAGGAACTATGTTCCTTCCCATGCATAAATAAAATATTAAACTAATTGGAATAGATTAATATGCACAAGTATTTCTTGAACTTCTCTCTCTTTACATGTTCGTATATATATATATATATATTTAATTACTATTTGTTAGATTCTGTCATTTGCATTTAATTACTATATTTTTACTAAAAAATTCACACAATTATAATTAGACGGTACATAAATACTGATTATAAAAAATACAAATTATAAGTGACGAGAAAAGTAAATACGTGATAAGATTGAATATGACTTAATTCATAATAAATTTGTTTTCTCCGTAGGCCAACCTATCTTTTATCCTTTTCAAAACTAGGGTTCGTTTTTGTATTGAGTTTGAATTTTGCACCAAGAGGTAGTTTAGATAGATTGATGCACATAACAAGATTCATATTTCAACGACGACAAGACTTCCTTTATCCAACCACTATTTAATCTAATGCATCGCAAGTTGTGTATCCTTTTTTGCATTTTAATGTATGCTCCATATTTGTTAACTACAACCCTAATCTAATTATTGATCTTATCCATTGATTCTTGACATTCCAACACGTAAGCTATTTGTCAAAACTTAACCTTTTTCGAATAATCTCATCTTTCGAGCCAAGCTACACCATGCAAATTCCCTTGTATTTGTAAGAATCATGTTGAACCTTAATGGATTCGCTTAACTCTTTCATATTAGTAATAAAATTAATTATTCATAATGTTTTAGTTACTAAATTTCACATTAAAAATGAAAATTATTACTGAACAATGGTCCAATATTGTTTTTAGGTTTTCATCAAGCTCAATTGTTTTGCTTAAGTTTCCCTAGAGAGGCTGTTTTGTTGACTGTGATCAAATCCTTTGTTGCTTCCTTCAGGGCACTGAAGACTCGAGGAAACACACCAAAGTATGGTCTGATTTTCCACTCAAGTTATATTGGCCGAGCATCTACTCGGAACAAGGGACGAATAGCTCGCTACCTTGCAAACAAGTGTTCCATTGCATCTCGTATTGACTGTTTTGCAGGTAAGTTCTCGGGTGTTTTCATAGACTATCATTTCCTAATTTGTTCTCATGTAATACAAATCACCAATTTATTTTCTGTTTGTTATACTATTTTGCAGAAAGGAATACTACAGTTTTCGGTGAGAAGCTCCGTGAGCAAGTTGAGGAGCGACTTGACTTCTATGACAAGGGAGTTGCACCACGTAAAAACATTGATGTCATGAAAGCTGCAATTGAAAGTACACAAAACAAAGGTTTGCACATCCTGAAACTTTTAGGAGGGATCTTGTCTTATCTTGTTTGAACTGACTGTAGTAGTTCAAACATTTGGTGCTTTATTGGAATAAGAAGTTTCTGATTAGGTCAAACTTCTAATGCAGTTCCAGTTTAACGTGCTTGTGTGTAACTTTTACATTTGGAAATGCTTTTGCAGATGTAGATATGGAGGAAGCTGAGCCTACTGAAACTCCAGTTAAGAAAAGCAAGAAGAAATCAAAATCTGAACCAGTCGAAGATGGTGTTGCAAATGGAGAAGCCACTGAAGATACGAAATCGGAAAAGAAGAAAAAGAAGGAAAAGCGAAAATTGGAGGAAGAAGATGAGAAACCGAACAGTGAGGAAAAAACGAAGAAAAAGAAGAACAAAGATGGAGATGAGATGAAAAAGAAGAAGAAATCAGAGAATTGAAATGGTAAAAATTTTGATGTATGGGTAGTAGAAATTTAGTTACTGTTTTATTACTTACTGGGTTTCTAAGAAAAGAACCTCTCTTAAGTTAAAAATTTAAGCTGTAATATGAATTTTGAACCTGGTTGAAATTCTATCTAGTGTTTGATGTTTTTAACCCATTAATTTGGCATTTTAATGGGTTTTGAGAAAGAATGCAGTCCAGGATTCCAGATGAATAATGTAATCATCTGACCAAACCATAGTTTAGATTGGCTAATTACACTTATAGGCATCATTCATTGATAATTATGCATTAATCATAGCATAATGAAAATAACTTTGAACAAAATTGAAATAATTATATCATAATTAAAATTTAAAATAGCTAAGAAATTACTCCATGAAAATATTGTTCCATCTGTATCACCAATAAATAATTATCAAAAGCAGAACAGAGTATTCTGCACCCTCAAGAATCCGAAACGTTTTGCAAACTCGAGATACAAACTTTACCTAATCGCCTCTCATGACTGGATCGGACCAGATATTTTTTTACCTAGTTACAGAGAATCACCCTTGTCAATCCAAGAACCAGACAAGACACACTGAAGAAGAAGAAAGTGACGTAATCCCTCGCACTCCATTTCTTCACCGCCTTAATTTCCCCTCGCAGACTCTTCGCTCTCCTCAACGCATCAACCTCCTTCATCAAATCAAACTCCAAACCCTTCTTCTTCAACTCCTCCACGCACTTCCCCAACAGATTCGCGTCCTCTTTCTCCCGATCCAGCAACTTTTGCAAGTGATTCTCCACCTCCGATTTGTACCGGACGGCCCAGATTATCCCCAGAGAACAGAGGACCGAACAGACCGATGGGACCCACGATCTGTGGCAGGCTCCACCCCGCGGATCTCTTGAGGAGGCGTTGAAGAGGAGAAGCAAGGAAATGGAGTGGAAGAGAAAGAAAAATATGTAGAGGTGTGTGATTTCCTTGCGTACCGAGTCGATTTGGGTTTCTTTAAGAGCGATTCGGTTGAGGATTAGCTCTTCTTCTTTCAACCATTGCTTGAGGAGTAACTTGTGCGTTGGGGTTTCTGCAATTTGGTGCAGAGGATGTGGTGGCTTGGACTCCATGATAGACGAGTTTGTGCTTTGATCGGCCATCAATATATTCAGAGAGAGAGAGAGAGAGAGAGGAGTTCCTGTCTAGCAATGAAGAGCAGAGTGAGTGAAGATTTCAACGGTTCCTCTTTTTGAATTGGTGTAACGGTCGAAATTTTCGAGAGGCTTAATTAAATAACAAGGTGAATTACCTAAAATACCCATGGCCGGAGCATTAATTAACAGATTTTACCGGCTCTTTGGCATTATTAAAAAATGTGAAATTTTATTTCGAAAATAAATATTTATATCTTCATATCATGAGTATGCTACGATTTACATTATTATATCCGTAATTTATTTATTTTTTTAAAAATTACAAAAATAATTATAGAAAAAACTATAATATTTGAGAAAATTTTAAGAAGATATTTTTCTAAAGAAGAAAATATATTACTAAATGTATCGAAAAACATAATTGAGTTTATCCTAAAAAAATAAGCAGAAGATATAAAAATACTTTGAATCTTCATTACATAAATTTGATAAAATCCAACATATTTATCATGAAATAAACAAGTAACAAAATCCAGTTCATGTTGCAGACGGAAGTGATCTGCAGTTTTTGTAATTGGTTGATGATCTCTTCGCCATTAAGCTTTACATGCATTTATACAATACGTTAATTGTTAATTATTTGTGTTTGTGTGTATAAAGTAGAAAATAATATCCAGTCAGTAATAATTTCTTACATTGTAATCATTTTCCACCCGCGTTTTCTTGGGAAACAAACAAACTCTCAGTAGACGCTCTTGTGGCTGATCCCCAACTCAACTGTTATTACTATATATATATATATATACTGTAAGTATATCCTGATTTATTACTATATTTTGATGGTGGGTTTTGTATTGGATTGTTGTTGATTGACTGGTTGAGTCGTTTTAAATGTATAGTTTCTGGGTTCTGAATTGTTTGCGTGTTATATAATTATATATATATATATATTGATCGGTTTTTTTGATTTGGTTTGTGGGTTTCTTTGCCCAGAATTCTTTTTGGGTTTTATTGAACTTAAATCACATATTGTTGAATTTGGTTTTGTATTTCAAACGAGATTCTTGGGGTTTTCGCATTTTTTGGGTGTTTATTTTGCCGTTTGATTGAATTAAAACTCTATTGAATGCTAAGAATTTTCATGATTATACTGTTCTCTGCAGAATTTAAGGAAGTGGGCAAGCATTTCATTTTGGGTTTTTGGCTGAAATCAAGTTAAGAATTTCCAATTTGGGACCCTCTTAGTATTCAATCAGCTTATTATTCTCATCAGGGGTTTCAAGGCAGAGAAGAAGAGCTTGTACAGGTTTGATCGTCGCTCTTCATGTACTTTCTTGTTTGCCAAACAGGCATTTTCCTAATCACTTTCCGATCATCGATCATCGATCATCGATCAATCATTCTTACCACTAGCACAAACCATATTGATAGAAAAACAATATCATAAGCAAGCAACAATTTGTAGATATTTAGTATTCAAGTAAACTGGAAGTTTGTTGATTATCTTGTGGGATTAGTTTCAGCGAAAATGGTGACCAGAATGGTTGATCTCCGATCTGACACGGTTACAAAACCAACAGAGGCAATGCGTGCTACCATGGCAACTGCTGAGGTTGATGATGATGTATTGGCTCATGATCCAACTGCATTCCTCTTAGAATCAGAGATAGCAAAGATCATGGGAAAAGAAGCTGCTCTCTTTGTTCCATCAGGAACTATGGGTAACCTCATTAGTGTGTTAGTACACTGTGATACCAGAGCAAGTGAAGTTATCCTTGGAGACAATTCCCACATCCATATCTACGAAAATGGAGGAATTGCCACCATTGGAGGTGTTCATCCAAGGACAGTTAAGAACAACGAAGATGGAACCATGGACATTCATTTGATTAAAGCTGCTATTAGGGAACCTACAGGGGAGCTTTTCTACCCAACTACAAGGCTTATCTGCTTGGAAAATACACATGCCAAGTAAATTTTATTATCTCTATGGCACTGTAATTTGGCTTCTTTAAACTTAACGTCCGCTCAAACAAAGGGTACCTTTTGTCATGCTTTCGATGATAATTGTATGCTTAGTTTATAGTTATTTAATTATAATTGTTGGAACTAAATGAGATAGTAAATTCCTTCATGATATACTTAATTCCTTACAAATTAGGTTCGACACTTATCGTTATTCTAAATGACAGATATATCATTATGTACACATGAAATGTTATAAAATCATATTGACTATCTTAAGTTGCTTCATAATATAAACTTCATGCTATATGGTATCGTTGAATGATTAAACTAAGCTGTCTTACATGTCCACAACTACGAATGTCAATTCAGTTCTTGATTTCGAATTTACAGTTGATTCAAACCTCACTCAGTACTTACTTTTTCCATAGCATATTCTCACAAGATGTTTTTTAACCATTGCAGCTCTGGTGGTAGATGCCTTTCTGCAGAATATACAGACAGAGTTGGAGAAGTTGCCAAGAAACACGGCTTGAAGCTTCATATTGATGGTGCCCGAATTTTCAATGCTTCAGTTGTAAGTAAAAAACTAGCTCAAAATTAAAATTTGAATAATCTGATTCAGCATTTCTCGTTTTAGCTTACTGTCAGACTATGAAGATGACAAGACTCAACATTGGTTGAGAATCTAAATCCCAAGTTTTTATTTCACAGGCACTCGGTGTTCCTGTTCATAGGCTTGTCCAAGCTGCAGATTCTGTTTTGGTAGAATCACTTAGCTCTTAACATTGTTAACTTCTTCATTTTAATAACATTACTAGTTTTATATCAGTTCAATTCTCATTCATATTCAATGTTGATTCAATTATAGTTTTCGGGTCAAAAACCAAACCCACTTTTGACTAGATTCATGAATCAGGTATGTCTGTCAAAAGGGCTTGGCGCTCCTGTTGGATCTGTTATTCTTGGTTCGAAAACTTTTATTACTAAGGTAATTACAGGGAAAATTCTGCTCTAAAAAGTATTGTTCTCTCACTTTATGGTAAAAAGAAACTTGTTTATTGTTTGTTTTTAGGCAAGAAGGCTTAGGAAAATATTAGGTGGTGGAATGAGACAGGTTGGCATAATTTGTGCTGCTGCAGTTGTTGCTCTCCGGGAAAATCTTGGCAAACTTGAAGGTGATCACAAGAAAGCTAAGATGTTAGCGGGTAAACAATTGATTTTTCTCCCGTCTGATCTAATTCATTTTCCACAATGTTATGCGATTCCAACTATCGAAAAAATTTTATGTACTTCTATTTACCAGATGGATTGAATCGAATTAATGGTCTGAGAGTGGATGCTGCTAAAGTGGAGACAAATATTGTGAGTGATGATATATGTAGTTTTGCTTAATTGAATTTAGCCTTCTGCATCAATACCATGTTTCTAAATATCTAAATTCTTTTACCAGATATTTTTCGACGTAATGGAGGACTCGAGGAAGACTGCAGAGAGACTGTGCAAATACCTCAAA